CTTACCGGGGTGAATCTGCGTGTGTACGATTGGAAGTTAAGCAAGCTATAATTTGCGGTCCTGAAAAAGCACCTAAGGGAACACAATTCTCTAATATGGATGTTCATGGTTATGGAGTGGAATGGGCTTGATGAGATCGCTCAGATGGAGTCCAAACGGACACGAAACGCCACGGAAGTACCTCTTTTCCTGGAGATACTTCCAAAGTAGAGAATTACAGGGGGTTTTGCCTTGCAGTTCCGCTAATTGTGATGAAGTATATGCTGAAGTGTGCGTCGAACTATGCTCCGTACAAGTTGAGCTGCTGAACGAATAACTTACAGATCTAAACACTAAATCAGGGTTGACCCACCCTGTTGACACAATAAGAAGTGTTTAAATAGTTTTCAGGTGATGTGAGACTTCTGAAATTGTCACATACGTATCTGATGCAGTTGTCAGCATGTCAAACTGCATGCGATCTAAGGGATTTCCCTCGGAAGCATCACTGGAGAAAGTATTCAAAATGTGGTAATTAAGTTTCGTACGTATATCGGTACAACCCGACAAACTAGAAATCCAGAATTCAACGAAGAGTGGCAACCAGCACGTATGTATTCGAATTGGCGAATATGTACAGCATATGGAATATTAAAACAAGAGAATAAGGAATAGAGCAATGAATAGAGCATCAGTCATGTTCATCACATCCGCCACACCTTGAATGAGCGTGCGGGTGTTTATAGTCCAGTGGTGGTCTTGACCGCAATCTTTCGGATCTTCTCGGAATGGAAACTTCAGAATCTTCACAGGTAGTACGTTCTTCAGATACAGCATTTTGTTCGGATACCACAAGATCATCTACAAAGGACTCATTAGTATTTGAAACAGCAGGAGTGCCGTTAACAGACTGACCTCTGGTATTGAACTCAACCTGGTCAATGTGTCTCCGATGACAAGAGAGATCATACAAATCAAGAATTGTGACCATTCGTTTGCCATTGGATGAAAGCACTATTCCTGTTGCGGGTAGTAAATCATTACCCTTGAAAAATGTTACATCAGCCGTTTTGGCACAATCAAGACTTGTACGCAACGAACATGTCAAACTCGATCTAATGGATTTCCCTCGGAAGCATCACTGGAGAAAGTATTCAAAATCAAAACAATATCCTGTAGAGAGCGAGAGGAGAGAAGAGTAAGCTCCGTAGGAAGGACGGTGGAATTTCGGCTGAACTGTTTCTGACGATTGGTAAAATGCACTCATTTACAAAGTAAACCAGTAATTATTGACGGGAGACTAACTGAATCCCACCTGAATCCCTCATTCAGGTTATTCTTCAACTGAATATGTAGCACACGGGCTGCATTATATTTTCCTGAATGAAACTACTCAAGTTTAGAGTGTCAAAGGGTGTTTGTTGTTCACCGATTTTTTGTCACACACTACTCACTATTTTTGATGATATCACACCAAAGAAAGGTAGAATGGACTCTACAACCAACCAGTTGTCCGTTCAACCTTTGAAAGCGTTGCCTACCTACAGAATGATTGTGTTTCCATGCCAATTTCGCAGTTGCAGAACCATTTCTACACTTGATAAAAACGGAAGCATGATCGTGTGAAAAATAACACAACGAGCCATCGTGATACTGAGGCCACCCTATTTTTCACGTTTCGGAATATTTTAATAAGCTGACTTATATTACTCTCTCCATTTACAAACCATGATGATCAGATGTATCAGTCAGAAAATGTCCGAATAAGACATCACCCGCAACGGCATGTGATGTTCCGATGCTTAATAAACTCAGCAGCAAAGTAAACTGGGTGAGTAACTGGGAGACTCACCTGGATCCTAGCTGAATACCTCATCTACGATATCCTTTGTAGAGGTTGTAGCGACCCAGTCACCCACATACTTGTCTGTTCAGCTCACAGTCGCTCACTGGATCGCGAGGCTTGACTTTTTTCTCATACGCACAAACACGTCGCATTAAGCTGACTCATCGGACATCGATTGTCTGCACCGCCTAGTCAGCGTAGCAACCACTCATGTGCCGACGCGCCCACGTATACGCACTGGGACCTACATAAAGGGAAACCGAACCCAGTCAGGACACACAGACTCGCGCGCGCGCAGGGAGCAGGACGTCAACCTCTCCACAAGTCCACGGACAACCATGGAGTACATGTAGCAGTCTAACTGCGGAGAAAAACACGTCCCCGCCGTCCGGACTTCCAACAAGGGACTCTCATATACGATAAGTCCCCTTTTTGACTTGCTCCCATTTTCGCACTGTATTTATTTTTATACGTGTCACAGAAATACTGAAAACTTCTATTAGTGCACACATACACCTGATTTGTATTATGGCTATCACTACCTGTGCACTAATAAGGTCACTCATCAGATCACGCGTCACAAACCACGTGACAATTCTTCTCCCACTTGCAACCTTAGCCGACAACCTGTACACTACAAATTCTCATCCATTTTTGTTTACGCGGCTACCACTTGCCCAAAGCGCCAGGCTTATGAACTTCAACACATCAGATCAAGCTGTATTCATGTTCGTGCATCAAACACGAAGGGATACCCCTCTCTTCAAACTGCACACAATAAATAGGCCTACAACTAGGCTCAACATACACACATTCGCGCGCACAGGACAGGAAGTCAACAGAGCTCCGCAAGTCTCCACGGGCAACCACGAAATACGTGCAGCAGCTGTACTGCAGAGAAGACACATCCCGCGTCCGGAACTTCACTCAGGAACACTCAACAAGTGTCCCCAAACGACAAGTCACTTTTTGGCTTATTCCACGTTTCGCATTGTATCTATTTTTATCAAGTGCACCTAACTACTGTATTCATCACATTCTAATAAGACAGACATTTGTCTTGATAATCAGCTTAATTAGGTCACAACTATAGCACCAACAATTAGTGAGGCCGACGTGACCCGAACACGCAACCTTTTGCACGCAACATCCAGCTCAAGTTTTGCATGGCTTGCGAACTATATTCACCTACAATTTTGGTTAGTGTAAACGGGGTACTCAACTTAGTCTGCGTTCAATCTCTCATTTGTGATCGAACGTACTTGACGAGCTCCAAAAGGGCTAAACCGTTCGCGGGCTATCGAGGAATTTTAATGAACCATATTAATACTGTCTCCTCTCAAGAAAAACTGTTAGTCAGTCGTTTCGTTTTGCATATTACGCCGCATTGGTTTACAAGATTGACTCATAAAAAATGAAGACTGGAAAAATTACAGAGAGCAAAAATTTCCGAAACAATCCTCAAATGAGGATAGCTGTCCTCAATTCCCCACTCATACAGGCCTGATCCTAGGTTAGACGCTTTTGTTAAGTTCATAAATAAAGAATAACAGTCAAAGGTAGTCGTACATTTTCAAAAATGAATCGAAACTTAAACAGGCGCCTTAGATCTAATTTTTTCGGTAAATGAGGCACTTCCATATTAAGTGGTCTTAATTTAAGCTGGTCGATTGCAAGAGTTCTTTCTGGCACTGTGACAGACGCATTTAAATTGACGGACAGACAGGCAGACTAGTGTGGACAAGGTGTCTCTCAGCTGCTTTCAGTTAGTTAATGTCCGTTCTTTTATGTAAGAAATACCCTGTGTGCCGGAATTTAACGATGTAGTGCGGACTAAGTCCCGACAAACAGCTTTGTATACATGTAAGACGTCGATTCACAACATTCGCTTTACTTTAACTTTCATGTCAGCACATTGTCTCACTATGAAAGTGTGTTATTAACTTCATTTTAAAGCTAACATTCTCTGAACTGATAAACAGATTTTTAAGTACACAAACTCTGCAAGCAAAAGGAATTATACCAACTCGTCAGATCCCTTCTAATCTTTTAAGTCCTTCAGGATAATTTAATTATCTACGTAAAATACAAACCAACACAAGCAATCCATGCCTTGTTGATGATAATTGCATTCCTATATAACGTCGTGGGTCTCGAAATGCCCAAATTTGGCTGATGCATGATTCGCTGGATATTTGTTTGACAAGATCGATCATGTAGCTCCGATCAGTCATAGTTTAATGTCCAGATATCCAAATAATATATTGTACGATGATGGGTGCCCTACAGACTCCTGGTCACTTTCGTAGGTCGACCTACGGCACGGGAGCATAGTATTAAGAAAGTTAGCGAATTGTACTAAGGAAAAAAATAAATGCCCACAATAGGCTGAATTCGCGCGCCGAATGACTGGGTGCAGGAATTCCGATACTGAGTACGGATTTTCCGCACCTGGGTGCGGAAAGGTCTGCATCATTTCTGCATTCGGGCATGGACTGGCTGCAGAAACCTCTTTCCTTTCCGCACTGGGTCCGCACCCGGATGCAGAAATCCGCGGACACTGTGCGGGAACTTCCGCACACGAGTGCAGATATGCTGTAGAAATTTCTGCACCGGTGCTAACTTGGTCAATTTCTTTCCATTATTAAAGAGATGAAATAATTGGAATGAAACATAGACAAGAATAGAAAACAAGTAACCAGACTAAATCATATATGCTGGTGAACACGATCTCACGCCACTCTCGGAAGCATGAAATCTTTCGCTTTATATCCGGACCTCGAACTTTATGGCTAATTGCGGCGAATACGGATTTTAATTCATGCAGTAAATTGTAAGTACAAGTGCTCTCATCCAGGTCCTTACAGTCGGAGTGCAATATATATATATATATATATATATATATATATATATATACGCAAAACAGCGCGCAACCAGATATGAAAAT